CACTTCTGACCATCTATTTCTTGGGACAACACAGCTCCGATGCTCTCATGACTTGCATCTGTATCCAGAATAAATTGTTTCCCAATTTCAGGATATTCCAGGACTGGAGCAGATGTTAGTGCATCCTTAAGCTTGTTAAAGATGTTGTTACAATCGCCTGTCCAGATGAATTTCTGTTTTGCCTCAGTCAGCTTATGGAGTGGTCTGGCGATTGTTGAGAAACTTTTCACGAATTTCCGGTAATATGTGCATAAGCCCAAGAAACTCCGGAGCTGATGAACATCTGTCGGGCAGTTCCAGTCTTTCACAGCCGAGACCATATCCGGGTCTGTTCGTACACCTTCCACCAAAATAATGTGTCGTAGATAAGTGATTTCACGTTGGAGCAGGCGGCACTTTGATGGACTTAATTTCAGGTTAGCTTCTTTCAGCTTTTGTAGCACCTGTCTGATATTCTTAAGATGCTCTTCGGAGGAACACCCCACGATGGTAATGTCATCAAGATAAACCAGGCAGGCCTCATACGAAAGTCCTCCAAGAACTGTTTCCATAAGGCGCTTGAATGTTGCAGGTGCATTACACAAGCTGAAAGGCATAACCTTAAATTGCCACAGTCCTTGTCCCCTGGTGAAGGCAGTCTTCTCTTTGTCATCAGGGTGGAGTTCTACCTGCCAATACCTGCTTTTGAGATCTAGGGTAGAAAACCAGGTAATGCCATCAAGCGTGTCATCTATTCTTTGCAGAGGATAGCTGTCCTTGTTGACGTCATTCAACCGACAATAGTCCTCACAGAATCTGTTCGAGCCATCTTTCTTCATGACCAAGACGATGGGAGATGTCCACGGACTTGACGATGGCTCAATGACATCATTATCTTTCATGTCCTTAATGAGTTTTTGGATTTCTTCCTGTTTAGCAAATGGTAGTCGTTGGGGGTGCTGCTTAATAGGAGGATGCTCTCCTCTTCCAGCAATCCCCTCCTTATACACCTTATTATTTTTATACTGGCAATTATTATTTCTAATTTGTAAATACTTTTAAAAAACAAAAATGGGCATTAATCAAGTGAAAGTCAACCATCTATCTTGCCTGATAGGAGATAAAGATCTCGGTATGAGATCAGGCGCTCCAGTCCTACCAATTCAATACCTGTATCAATTTGGTGTTGTGTTAGTCTAATTCTTCCAAAGTCCTGAGCTGTTCTTGAAAATAGGCTTTGGAATTCTGTAATCAACTCTCCTGCAGCACATCTGTTTCTGGTCTAAGTCAGTGTTTTGTAGTAAAACCTTGACTAGATCATCTGTAGAATGGTCTTAGCTATTGCATTTTCAGTCTACACAAGTGACAGGAGTACAAGCTGCTATTATCTCTCCTTCCTGGACAGTCCTAGTCTCATCACTAATGTTAGCCATTCTCGCTGGGAGGACTGACTTCAAGAGGTCTACTACTGACAAAGCTATCAGTACTCCTCCTTTTGAGTTGTCTGGGTCCGGATAATCAATTAGGCTGAATCGGAATTTTCTATTGTCTGCTACTAAACCAGGTATTATACATTCAGTTCTTGTGATAATGAGATGTTGTTTTTGCTATAATTTTCTGGTTGGATTCAAGCTGAGTTCGTAAGCCAAAAAGAGTGATGTCTTCAAGTTTTGAATGCATAGTGCTATTTTCAGGGTCCAGTTTAAAGTTATTGTTCAGAAAATCCATTCCAAGAATACAGGGAACGGTTATATCTGCTATATATGCCGTAAGGTGATAGTCAATATTTCCAAACCTTAGAGTGATGTTAGATTTCCCATGAACCTGAATCTTGTCACCCCTCACTGTTTGCAAGGAAATGCAGGGCGGCATCCAGATAATACTAATTTTCTAGTTTTAAGCCAAATCTTTTCTGATGGTAGACACATCGGCTCCAGTATCAACCATATGGCACAAGATGTTATTAATTTGTCCTATTATGTAAAGTCCCTTGTCGCCGCCATTCACTGCTGTAATCTGGACAATTTTGTGATGGGGCTTTTCATTATCTGGCAGCCTCCACCCCACGAGATGGCCATATATTAGTTTTCCTGTTTGTGAGAAGAAACGAGTGTTCTCATCCTTCCTTGCTCGTAGACAGTTTCTTCTCAGGTGTCCAGTTCCACCGCACCCCCAGCACTTAAAGTTGCATTTCTCTAGGTTCTCTGCATTTCAAGCCATTAAAGCTGAGATTTTATCTCTCAATTTCTCAATGTCATTTTTTCATGGAGATTCGCAGGGCTCATCTGAGGATTCTTTAGTACCTCGGATGGATTGGCAGTCTCTGTGGCTGGCTTGAGTGCCAGCCTCTCAGTTCAGATTTAAGATCTTGGACATTGCCAAGATCCTCCTCTCTGGATTTCCCCATCCTTCAGTCCGTCCACGAAATACTGTAAAGAGATTATTTCTCACACATTTGTTGGATAGTTTGAGTAAGCTAAATTGGCGAGCCTTTCTACTTTAGAGACATACTCCTGCAAGCTTTCTCCAGTTGTCTGGAGTCTTGTTTTCATCTGCAGACATGCATACTACTTGGAGTATTTCTGGCTGAACCGAAGATCCAGAGCATTATAGAGGGAGTTCAGATTCCTTCGCTCTGTCAGGAAGTGTGTGTCTGCAATACTTCAGCAGCTTCACCTCTAAGGGATGCTGCGCGGCCGCGGTAGCCGAGTGGTATAGGTATCGGATCGTGGCTTGCCTGGTCACGAGTTCGATCCCAGTACCACTAAAGACCCGCCGTGTAGGGCAGCGATGCACGTTAAATCTGTCGAGAGCTGAAACGTCCTCCCGTTGGTGTGGTGTGGTAGTTAGGAGAGGGGGGTGCCAGCTCAGGTGTCGTCCACGTCACTTGACCATGGTTCAAAATTACGTGGTCCGTCGCCAAAAGCCCTCGTGTAGCTGAACAGTGCGACGTTAATATTAAATCAATCAATCAATCTAAGGGATGCTGCTAGCTGACATGCTTTGACCCTTTCAGTCCATCCATTGACTTCCGAAATGATACAAAATTGAGTCTTGTACACCTCCCAGTTGGTTTTTCTATCATAGGTAGACAGTTTCACTGCACTGAATTGGGATCAGTACTCACGGTACTGAAGAAGCAGGCTCAAACTTGTTTTCGTTCGTCGTCTTACCACATTTTAGAAGCTTTTTTTCCAAGATCTTCAACTCGCTGGCTAAAATTTCCTGCTACTTCAATTCTTTCTTCAACTTGCTCTTTAATTCTTTCTATTTCTTCTCTATCTTCTCTTCAACTACTGCTATCTTTTCTTCCATTTTTTACGGCTATTTTCTCTTCCACACTATTGATTTTCTCTTCAACATTGTCGATTTTCTTTTCTAGGGAATTCTTCAGCTCTTGGCCTTGGCTCTTCAGCACATTTTCCAGACCTTTCTGCATTTCTTGTTGGTCTCTTCTAGTTTCTTCCTTTAACTCATTTTTAGCCTCTTGGCTGTTTTTCAAAGTATTGATGGCTTCCAACAGTCTTCAGTTGCTCATCCATCCTCTTGTTATTGGTATAAAATCCCATTTCTGACACCAAACTGTTACGTTGATCAGGGTTCAAGGATTTTATGCAAATCAGTCTCAAAGGGGGGGACAGTAATTTAAGAGCGATGATCCTTCAATCACAGGATTCAGCAGCAATATTCACAGAATAAATTTCAGAAGGTCTTCACACCTTCAACAGCACTCCAAACACAATTATCAGTGTTTAAAATACACATATGTAAAAGACTTCACAAGCTAATCGGTAATCACGGTCAAAACAAGTTTATTAATCGCTGTTTGAATCAAGACTGACTCGTTGTGGCTAGCACCGCTCTATTTATAGACCTGGCAGAAACTTCCAGAAATATCTGCATGCTTCATAAAGCATGATATTAGTGGAGAAATCCACTAATTTTCTAGAAGTATCCAGAGGGTCCCGAACGCTTCAAAATGGTCGCCAGTATCGCCAAAATTTATGCCAACGGCTCTATCACCAAGTTCTCACTGAATCACCACTATAGTGTAAGGGACGGCATTGCTTGTGAATAGTATAATTTTAAAATAAAATAAATTTAACATAGAGTAATATAAATGCATTATGCATCCAAAATACGTTATTTAACTATTTACTCAAAATTCGTAACAATACTTACCGTATTTATTCAAATCTAAACCTCACTTTTTTTCCAATGTTAATGCTATTGAAAATCAAGTGCGGCTTAGAAATAAAGGTGAAAAGTTTGTTGAATGAGGGAAATGGACCCATGATACTGACGGTGAGAAATAATAGGTTCATGCATGTATTTAAAATTTTTAGTGCTGGTGAAATAAATTAATTATTAAATTTTTCAAATGTTGGATGATAAACCTTTTTACTCTACTTTTTATATTTCTCTAGAGTGTGCTGAGAATTTGGAGGGTGGCTTAGATTTAAATAAATATATTAAGTATGTTAAAATAAAATTTTATTTAAAAAATGTTGTAAAAATATCTGAATTCTAAAACCAATCTTTTAGTTTGTTTTTATGAAATAGTATTTTAAAATGAAACTACAAATTTTTAAATTAAAAATCTTCTGCTTTTTGCATGTTTTTCTGTGTATTTTGCATTCTTAGCCAAATATCATGAAGTATATTTTTGAGTATATATAGTTTTGTATTTTGAAGGAAAAATTAGAAAGGCATTGAAAAAGTTATTTAAGGTATTTTAAGAATGGAGAAGGGTATTTTTCGATTCCTATTATTAATTCACACTCTCCCTATATATATATTTATTTATATATATTGTGTTCAAACTTTCAATCTTTAATAAAATACTTTTTATTCATCCACTCAAGTTAAATACATTTTTCTAAACTTGTAGTGGATGACACTTAATGTTAATACAGCTTTTTCAAATATTAATTCATTAGTTAAATTTAATTAATGAATAAAAAGAAACAAACCAAAATAATAGTCCAATACCATATATAAAAAGGAAAACCGCTCATTGTGTCCCTGTAGCACATTGGATAATGCATTAGACTTCTAATCTAAAGGTTGTGGATTTGAATCGCATCTGGAATGGCCTAATTTCTGCGAATGCGATTTCTTTTTACCTAACTGTTTTACTGGAATAATTAAATTTAATTAATGAATAAATGGTAACAAACAAATATATTAGTCCAACACCATATACTGAATGGGAAAATTGCAAGGAAGGTTGCTTTCTATTTTGCCACTTATTGAATTCTGTCATATGTATGTACATATTTATATTAATTGATATTATTTAATAAAAAGTAACTAAAATAAAATTTTTCTCTTTGTTGACCTAAGTAGGAATTGACTTAAATTTTTTTTTCATTTGTTAAAAAAATTATTTTGTGAAGGTAATTATTGAATTTTTTTCACTTTTGTCCCTATTTTATTTTACATTACATTTCTTAATTGTTTTGAAATGAATCATTACTTTGCAAAGCCCTCATGTATTCCCTAATTTTTGTTTTTTGGCAGTTGAATTTTGTTATTTTGACTCAACTGAAAATTTGCTTAAGCAATGAGAGCACCTTTCTTAAATATTGACTCTAAAAAAGCTCTTTATTTTGTCCACATTGTTATGTACCGGGTGGGCAAAAAGTCCGTAAAAAATTTAAAAATTCATAAAATCCGGAGAAATGAACAAAAAAAAACTGTTTGCAGGATCAGCATTAGTATGTCACTGGATTTTTTTTAAGCTAGAAAAAAAAAAATAATTCGAAAATCATCCAGTAGGTGGCGCTGTTACAAGCATCTGTGGTGGAAATATGCAAATTAGATGGCTATAAAAACCTTTGCTCTCAATGAATCCGCATTCATTTCACCATTACAAACAGTGAATGTGAACAAGGATGCTCAGTGCGCCGGATAAAGCTTTGTTGGTGAAGTTATTTTACATGAACAAGGAATCAGCGACCATTGCCTTGCGTAAATTCCGAGTTCAGAAAAATGTAAAGAGTGGAAAAGACCCTTTAACACCTGCAGGTCTCTTAAAGCTTGTTAAACGTTTTGAGGAAACTGGAAAGTTGGAGGGTCGAGCACAAGCCTGAAGACCATGCTTGAAAGAAGCATGTGCACCCTGCATTGGTGTCGAAATGGAAGCGATTGCGTCTGAAGCAGATTTAGGGACCAGCAGTGCTCGTGAAGCTGCCAGACGATTGGGCTTACCACCATCATCTGTCCACAATATTCTTCGTCGAATCCTCCAGCTGTACCCATACAAATTGCAATCGTGCCATGAACTTTTGTCAGCAGATACCGCACAGAGGGAAGCATTTGCAAAGTGGGCCTTCTCTAAAATGGAACAGGATCCCCACCTGGGTTTTTAACATCTTGTGGACAGATGAAAATCATTTCTCGCTTCATGGTGACGTTAACAACCATAACTGTCGCATTTGGGCGACCTCTAATCCACGCGAGTACACACAGAAGCCATTGCATTCCCCAAAAGTGACAGCATGGTGTGGTTTCACGGGTTCATTTATCATAGGATCCTTCTTCTTTGAAACGCAGTGCCAAGTAAATGGATGGATAACGGAAACGGTAAATGCTCAGCGTTATCTAACGCTTCTGCGAGAGACTGTCGTGCCATGTTTAATTCAACAAGATCAGATTTCGAATGTCACGCTCATGCAGGAGGGAGCAACCAGTCACATTGCTAACCCGGTTAAGGCATTCCTGATACAGACGTTCGGGGAAGACAGAATCGTTAGCAGGCGCTGCAGGTACCCATGGCCTCCTCAGTCTCCAGATTTAACACAGGCAGACTTCTGGTTGTGGGGATATTTGAAATCTCGCGTGTATCTATCCGGTCCATCAAGTCTGTCGGAACTGAAAGATGCGATCCGCAGAGAAGTATCCTCCATACATCCGGACATGTTGCACTCTGCCGTTGCTGGATTTGTAACTTGTATTGAATGTCTTCTCCCTTGTGGTGGTGGTCATGTGGAACATATTCTGGTGTAATAAAGTTGTGAAAGTTTTCTCTTCATTATTTATGCATTGTTTCTTTGATTTGCGTACATCAGTGCCACCTACTGGATAATTTTTGAATTATTTTTTTCTAACTTAAAAAAAATCCTGTGACATACTAATGCTATTCCTGCAAACAGTTTTTTTTTGTTCATTTCTTCGGATTTTATGAATTTTTAAAAATTTTATGGACTTTTTGCCCACCAGGTATAATGCCCAATGTAATGTTCTACACTCACATTTTGCTACTCAAATATGATTTATCTCAAGAGCATTTCTGTTTACAAGTGACATTAATACTGGGTTGCATGTCATGCTCATCAAGAGGCATGGCATATGCTCAAATACTTTATTTCCCAAGTATGTAACGTTCTATATTTTTTTTGAAATTGAAAAATCGCTTACTTTAGAGAATTGCTGAATTCTCTAGTGCTTTGTCAGATCATTGCATAATTTACTGCCTTTATTTTTCAGAATAGAGAATTGAAATGTTAAATGGTTACTGTGAGTAATCACTATCATCACAGCGCTTAGTGATATATTAATTTAACTCAGTGGTGTGACAGCCCATGAGGGCCAAGACCTACTGTGGCCAACTTGGTATATGCGACCTTAGGCCCTGAGGGGCATGAGTGGTGGATGTTCTGATCGAGTGGTCAATCTGACTTTTTTGTGTGTGTGTGTGTGTGTGTGTGTGAAACCAAGTGTTAAGTTCCCAAGCAAGCTTGGTACTCATTTATTGACCCACTATAGGGGATGAAAGGCTGAGTCAACCTTGTCCAGCCCAGGATTTGAACCTTGGACCTGTGGTGTGGAAGCGTGATGTACTAACCACTCAGCCACTAGGCTTCTAGTGATATAGTACTGATGGGTTATGTTCTGCGTTTTAAACGGCTTTACTTAAAGCTCCTGGATGTAGTAATTACTGCTACTTTCAATATTTTTTTTTATTAAACATGTCTTTGAAGTTGGATTTTTTTATAAAAAATGTATAACTCTTTTATATTTTGTACAAATAAGACTTTCTAACATATACTCTGAAATGAAATATTTTCTCCTTTTGGGGCCAATTAAATTTAAGTTTATTAAATATTGTTATAATTCTAGTTTGTGTAATTTTGTTGAATGGTATTCAATTTTTTTATGATTAAAAAAGGCAATATTTAAATTGGGTTTTACCTATATTTTTACTGTAATTATGCCTATTTATTGCCTAAATGTATTGCAAGGTATTTGTTTTTGTTGAATTTCTTTTATTTTAAAAGTATGAATATCAGATGTAAATTTTAAAAGTAAAATATTTCTATTTTAAACAACTGGTATGATATATGTGAATAAAATAATCGTTATGGTTTTAAAAAAAATTTAAGTTAATCATAAATATTTCTTTTAAATCAAATATTAAATTTGATCTGATTTTTAATTAGATCAAATATTAAATTAGCTGTAAATAAATTTTGTAACTGTTAACTATTTGCTGTATGTATTAAGATGGGTCAATGTGAACTGCCCTAAAAAATGGTACACTCTTAATTTTTTACTTAACATATATCGCAACTGGATAAAATCAGTATTAATGTTAATTGTTTAAATGGAACTAAATCATTAAATTAGGTTGATTAATGTAATTAACTTCCGGAACAAAAATTTTTCCATTATGGTTCTTTTTCGGGATTAAATACTGGTCTGAATAATTTATGTAAGCCAAGTATTATAGTTTTTTCATTCAAACAATTCATACTGTTTTCATTTTCTTAGCACTGCAGGATGATTGGATCAATGGTATGGTTTATAGATTAGTGTGCAATCTCTTAAACTACACAATTCCCAATTTTTTTGCTTTGAATATTTCCTGAACTATTGAAGAAATTGCATGAATTTTTGGATTTAGGAGATGCCTGACATGAGAAATTCAAATATGTAAAAATTTTGGTATGTTACAATTTACTTTATTTTATAGTTATATTCAATTTTCTATATTTTTGTAATGCTTTCTTCAGTTTAAATTTTTTTCCCTCTTTTTTTTACAATTGAAGTAATTATTCATTTTTTGGTGTAAAAACTTTGTATGAATATCTTTGTATGAAAGTTTTACTGTCAAAAGTCTGAGATGCTTATTTAATGTGAGAGAGGAAGGGCATTTTGTAACTTACAATTCAGAACCTGAACTGCAGAATTCTACAAAATTTGGAATATAAGATGAAAAATTGCATTTGCAAAAAAAAAGCACACAAAAAAAATCTCGTATCATTAGCATTTATATCAATTAAATTTAGCTGTGATGAGAATTGCATATGTTATTAGGGGTGACCCATTTTTAAAATACTGCAGTGAAGAAATTAATATTTTTAAAAATTAAATGAATTTTCCTTTGATCTGAAAAACTCAGAAATATGAAGATTAATTAAAAATCAGTACTATTGACTCTAGAAATTGTTCAATTCAAGTGTGTCATCAAGTCGAGTGTGCAGAATGTTTGAAGTAACCTTAGTTACTGGTTGTTGTATGTATAGCCATCCCTTACGCAACCTGTTGGGAGTGGTGTTTGGATGCTGATAGATGTACTCATTGATGCTGGCAGTGGTTGTGGACATGACATGCTGTGGTAATTAATCTCAATGAACCATTTGGTGAATCTACCCTTCAATGTGATCTGTTGTGCATAAATGCAATTCAAGTAGATAAGTTTCACAAAGTTTAAGAGAAAAAAATCAAGCTGTTTCTTAAATTACTTTAAATTTACAGGGCTACATTATATTATGGTATTTTCAGTTTTAATAGAAAATGTTTTGTTTTTATCCTTTCCCCTTTTCATGGATCCCTTTCCAATGAAAAAAAGGAGAGAAAAGATTAGCTATGAATGAAGTATAACATTTAAGCCAGCTTGTGAAAGTAATAAACACAATGAGAAAAAAATTTTCTCACTGATAAGATGTTATATAAAAAAAAGATATAAAATATGGCCCCGTTTACATGGGCAAAAATTGCCGGCAATATGCCGGCTCTAATCCGCTTTGTACCCGTTTACACGGCGAGCCGGCATTTTGCCGGGTCGAAATGCAGGTCTATTTTTCGTA